TATACGCTTGCTGCATCTCCACATTCAAAAAGCTATAAAACTTAAAGTTCTAGATTGGACAGACCAGTTCCACCTCAGATTGAGAGTACATCTTGCCACAGTGTCAGCTGCGTCGTTTCAGGACTGTCTGATGTTGAATTACAAAATAAGAGTCCCGACAAACTCATAAATACGCTGCTGTATCTCTACATTCAAAAAGCAATAAAAATTAAAGTTCTAGATTGCACAGACCACTTTCACCTCAGATTGAGAGTACATCTTGCCACAGTGTCAGCTGCGTCGTTTCAGGACTGTCTGATGTTGAATTACAAAATAAGAGCCCCCACAACTTTCATATATGTGTTGTTTTGTGTGTACTTCAAAAAGATATAAAAAATAAAAGTTCTAGATTGCACAGACCAGTTCCACCTCAGATTGAGAGTACATCTTGCCACAGTGTCAGCTGCGTCGTATCAGGACTGTCTGATGTGGAATTACAAAATAAGAGCCCCGACAAACTCATAAATACGCTGCTGTATCTCTACTTTCAAAAAGCTTTAAAAATAAAAGTTCTAGATTTCACAGACCACTTTCACCTCAGATTGAGAGTACACCTTCCCACAGTGTCAGCAGTATCGTTTCAGGACTGTCTGATGTGGAATTACAAAAGAGCACCCACAACTTTCATATGTGTTGTTTTGTGTCTATTTTCAAAAAGCAATACAAATTAAAGTTCTAGATTGCACAGACCAGATCCACCTCAGATTGAGAGTAGACCTTGCCACAGTGTTCAGCAGCGTCGTTTCAGGACTGTCTGATGTGGAATTACAAAATAAGATCCCCCACAAACTCAAAAACACGCTGCTGAATCTCTACATTAAAAAAGCAATAAAAATTAAAGTTCTAGATTGCACAGACCACTTTCACCCCAGATTGAGAGTACACCTTCCCACAGTGTCAGCCAGTGTTGGGGGTAACGCATTACAAGTAACGCGAGTTACGTAATCAGATTACTTTTTTCAAGTAAATAGTAAAGTAACGCAGGCCCCCCAAAACCCATAAATAAGCTGCTGCATCTCTACTTTCAAAAAGCTATAAAAATAAAAGTTCTAGATTGCACAGACCAGATCCACCTCAGATTGAGAGTAGACCTTGCCACAGTGTTCAGCAGCGTCGTTTCAGGACTGTCTGATGTGGAATTACAAAATAAGATCCCCCACAAACTCAAAAACACGCTGCTGAATCTCTACATTAAAAAAGCAATAAAAATTAAAGTTCTAGATTGCACAGACCACTTTCACCTCAGATTGAGAGTACATCTTGCCACAGTGTCAGCTGCGTCGTTTCAGGACTGTCTGATGTTGAATTACAAAATAAGAGTCCCGACAAACTCATAAATACGCTGCTGTATCTCTACATTCAAAAAGCAATAAAAATTAAAGTTCTAGATTGCACAGACCAGTTCCACCTCAGATTGACAGTACCCCTTGCCACAGTGTCAGCTGCGTCGTTTCAGGACTGTCTGATGTGGAATTACAAAATAAGAGCCCCCACAAGCTCACATATGTGTTGTTTTGTGTCTACTTTCACAAAGCTATAAAAAAAAGTTCTAGATTGCACAGACCAGTTCCACCTCAGATTGAGAGTACACCTTCCCACAGTGTCAGCTGCGTCGTTTCAGGACTGTCTGATGTGGAATTACAAAATAAGAGCCTCCCAAATCTCATAAATAAGCTGCTGCATCTCTACGTTTTTTTTTATAGCTTTTTGAATGTAGAGATGCAGCAAGCGTATTTATGAGTTTGTGGGGGCTCTTATTTTGTAATTCCACATCAGACAGTCCTGAAACGACACTGCTGAAACTGTGGCAAGGTGTACTCTCAATCTGAGTTGAAAGTGGTCTGTGCAATCTAGAACATTCAAAAAGCTATAAAAAAAAACGTAGAGATGCAGCAGCTTATTTATGAGATTTGGGAGGCTCTTATTTTGTAATACCACATCAGACAGTCCTGAAGCTGACACTGTGGCAAGATGTACTCTCAATCTGATGTGAAAGTGGTCTGTGCAATCTAGAAATTTTATTTTTATAGCTTTTTGAAAGTAGACAAAACAGCATATATATGAAAGTTGTGGGGGCTGTTTTGTAATTCCACATCAGACAGTCCTGAAACGACGCAGCTGACACGGAAGGTGCCTGTGAGCAGAGATGTATTGATGATGTGTGTGAGTGCTGGTAAAAGTGTAGGAGAGATTGCTTGGAGGAGGTGTGAGGGGATTGGGTCTAGAGGGCATGTTGTAGGATGGCTGGAGAGCAGAAGTTTTGATACTTCTGCCTCAGTGAGGGGACAGAAGGAGAAGATGGGAGTTTTTGCGGTGGGTGTGGTTGGTTTGAAGTCCTGTGTGTGTGGGGCTGAGAATTGACTACTGATTGTTCTGGTTTTGTCTGTGAAGAATGTGGCGAAATTATCAGCTGTTATAGAAGTGGTAGGAGGTGGTGGAGGGGGACAGAGGAGAGAATGGAAAGTTTTGAAGAGATTACGTGTGTCTGGAGCGCTGTTGATCTTGAGACAGTTACGGACTGTGTGTTGGGAAAAAATCACGTTCTCTGGAAGAGGAGCACTGCATTCAGATCAGTTCTCTGACGGTTTTACCGTAATATGCAGTTTATGCGCGACCCTCGAAATAACGTGGCGGCTAGATTGACCGTGATTTTCGACTTGGCGGCTGGCTTGACCGCAGTAATTTATCGCAATCTCACGATTCCGTGAACTGCAAACAATATCTTATTTACATCGTGTCTATGTGTGGCGTTTAGCATTCAGTGAATTCTGACAGTGTCACCCTGTATCTTTTTATATATTTCTTTATTAATATTTTAATATATTATTATTTTATATTAACCATTTGCACACACGAGCATTATCCGGCTTCGCTCCTCCCGACCGCAGACGCAGGTTTACAAGCCACTTTTTCCAGTGTTTTTCAGTCAAATTCTTGAATTTTCCCCCCTTATGAGCAACACATTTTTGTACACGATAAAAGCTCCTTGTGGTTTCTCGGTTTGTCCGATTTGAGCATCCATAAACAATGCAAAACACTGGCATTTTGAGTTTCTGCTAGTGATTTCTATGGAGAAAAATCACTTCCTGCCCTCCAGCTGCATTTCGCACATCATCAGAATCACGTGATTGCAAACAACCTATTGCAACCTTTTTTTGCAACATGACATATCTGCTCTGACATGGTGACCACCAGTAATCACAGGGATTTCTCAAACCATCACATTCGACTGTGCAAAAAGAGCAGTGCTAAAGCACAATTGATAGAAACACTCTACTAAAAGAACTACAAGAACAGTAATGTGGAAATTTTGTTTCAAGTACAGATGGTGATAGAGAAGCCAAAGTCTCAGTGTCTGTTTAGCCAGGATCAGATTTCGTTTGCCTTGTATTGTTTTGTTTGTTCTGAGGATAAGGTCCAACACCGTAGAGTCTGATAGGATGCACTGCCTTTGATGTAGGGTTGGGTGATAAAACAATAACAGTAATTATCGCGACAATTTTCCTTGATATAATTATAGCAAAAGATTGATAAATGTCTTTCGATCGATAAATGTTTAATCTAATGAATAACTGATTTGTTAAATCAAATGAAAAATTGTGTGTTTGATTGGTCCAGACGCTACACACACTATGCAAACAATACTGCACATGCATGTTGCAGACAGTCACACTGGTGCCAATACCAATTTACCTAACAGATAAGTGTTGCCATTTCTGTTGCGTATGGGAAACATTAAACAGCAAACGCACCAAAAGCAGAACAAAAAAACACTACTTGTTTGAACCATGCCACAAAGACTATTTAACAGCTCGGCCCAAAACACCAAGCAAATGCATTTACTCACTAACCATCTCACGTCCACTAAACAGTGTTGTGAGATCCAGTGAAAAGCATTTAAGCTTGGCACAGAGTTCTGATACAAACCACAAATGTCTCAGTGATTTAAACTAGTTTAAAGCCAGATGTAACAGCACTGACATTCTCAACAACTGCTGTGGAAAACAGGGCAAACATTGTTACAATTCAACAATCTAGTTAGAACACATTTTAATCCACAAATCACCAACACTTACCATGGATTTACTGTAGGAACACTAACTTGTAACCATGGTTATTTTGGCAGAAACGTGGGATATTCAAATCGAATTTGACTATTTTAATGTAAAAATTAAATGTATAAAAGGAGTTATAGGAAATAAAGCATTTTTGTTATTAATATTAGCAGTTTTTGTGCATTTTCTTAACAAATGCCATAAAAACTAGTTACTTTTAACTAGGGGTGGGGGAAAAAAATCGATACAGCATAGTATCCCAGTATTTTCTGTGGCAATACTGTATCGGCAATACTGTATGGATACACGGATGCCAAGTATCGATCTTATTATACTATTTGGTAGAATAATAAAAACATTTTTTACAATCCACTAGATGGTGGTGTTGAGTTTTTTTCTGGTGAGGTCAGCTGGGTCACCTTCAGCATGCAGTAAGTTAGTAAAATAAAGAGGTGGCATCGCGGAAAGTGATCAGGAAAGCCCCGTCCGCTTTTAAATCGGATGTATGGACTTACTTCGGATTTGTAAACAAGGAGGGGATGTAAGTAGGGATGCACCGAAAATATAGGCTACATTAGGGATATGCCAGTATCAAATTTTCATGTTGCGATGAATTGCTAATGCTTTTATCACGGTGTGCGGTATTACTCTGTCGTTTTAATTACAATTTTTAAAAAGCTTATAAAATATAATTTTTTTAAGAATTTGACAAAAGATGACATACTTTTAATAAAGTTAGAGGAGTCAAACATCACCTCGTAATGGGAAGGCTACTTTTTGATAACATTTTGGATAATTGTTTAGAAGGTGCTCCTAAATTTTTTAAGTTTAACTTTTTAAAAGAAAAGTAAGCGTAGAGCCCTGAAGCATCGTGATAATATCGTATCGTGAGGCTTCTGGTGATTCCCACCCCTACTTTTAACCATGGTAGTGAGGTGCAATGCGTGATTTTCTAAAAGACAAAACATGTACTATTAATTTGTGAAAGAGCAGTCTGATGAGAAAACAATGGTTTCGCCATCTTCCACTCGGAATCAAAAATCTGCTTTTAAACTTGAAAGAAATAAATGACATTTATCATGCTAATTATCGAAATTGACTGATATGAACAACTTTGTGATAATATATTTGGCCATATCTCTCAGCCCTACTTTTTTTTTTATGTTTTCCCCATCCCTTTAAGTTATATGCAGTTTTTACATTATGTGCAGTTATTACATTATGAGTTGCTACACATCCTGAATATACACAATGAGTTGGTTAGTTGTTTTTCTCATCTTGAATTTAATAGTTTTGTGTCTGCTGTTCACAGCCCCATCAGAACAAACCTATTTATAGGCTATGACTCACCAACTGAAAACACCAGCCAGTAAGTTTTCAGAACTCAATTTAATAATATAAAGCCATAATTAAAAAGGATGTTATAGTCAGAAGTCTGTGATCTCTGACCTGATAATCTCATCCTCTGCCAAAACATGCTCTATGGGCTGTTGTGGTGAAGCAAGCAGTAAGTCCAGGAACCTGACAGCCCCACAACAAAACAGCACCACCGGCTCAGAGTCAGTAGCTGACAGCACTCTGAGAACATCAGCTGAAACCTGAAAAAAGTCAGAAAAAAACATCATAGATACTAAAGTTCAAATGTTACACTTGGCATTAACATCAGTTTCCGACAATTTATTTGAAATGGTATAATTGGAGTCCAAAATGTTTTTGAAATAGTCCACTTCAACATTTGGAGGTGCTCAAAAATGCAAGTAGCCACATTGATTTTGCAGTGTAAATGTCAATCATTTGCCTGACCAAAACAGCTCTTTCCTAGAGAAATCAAATAACAGGGTCTAAGGCACACCTCAATAGTCAAATAACACGACTAAGTCACTAAATTTGGCCAATTAAAAAAAAAAGATTGAAATTTGATGAAGTAAAACACGTGTTGAATTATTATGAGGTCTCAAAAAAATTGCCATTTTCTGTGAATTTTCTAAGAATGAGTAACCACAAAAAGTTTGACAAAAACAAAGAACTGTAGAGCCATCTGAATTAGATTCATAACTGACCAATTTTGCAACATCGACTGAAACACTGAACTGATTAGAGCTGAACAGTGTTAATTTCGTTGACGAATAATGTGTCATGATTTGTCAACAACATTTTTTCACAGATGAAAGCAAGATGATAACAACTCTTTCTGAATGACAAAAACAATGACAAATCTATTGACATATTTGTCAATGAATTAAACCGAGACGAAAATGTTAGGGAGGGACATCTGGACAGAGATCCAGTCACAATGAATCTCCTGCATGGAAAGGAGGGTAGATGCGCACATTTGAATTGTAGGCTAACTCTCTGATCATAAGCTTACATACACTTGCTGCACGTCTCATAAAACATAAAAAATGTCAGCGCCTGGGAGTAAGAAAGTGCAGACATGGATAAATTAGAAAATTGTGACGACGTGAAAGAGCACTTAATTCGGGTCACACAGCCGAATCCTGCACAAAAGCACCTCTCAAACAGCGAACGATTACTGAATAGGGGTTTTGGCCGATTATTGGCGCCGATATTAAGCATTTTTATGATTATCGGTATCGGCCATTTTCAAAACCGATTCGCCGATAAAATAACTTAATTTTGAAACGCGCTATTTGGCTCTGATGCAGCCTGTCAGAACTCACCACTCTGTGGCCTAAAGCAGTCTCCGCCCACCGCCCATCTGATTTGTTGGGAGTCACGAGTCCGACCAATCAAAGCGGAATTCACTCTCACTCCAAAAGCACTTGCTAACTGGAGCTGCTTCAGTGATCAAGCAGCATCAGTTGTCTCTCAAAAGGTAAGGCAGCAGCAGACGTTACTCAAGTTAAGCAATAAATTAAAAATAAAAAAGCCACTAACATTACACTGAAGTTGCAAAACACCTCAATATTATCTATGATTTCCGCGATGCGGAAAACACGGACGGAATCGCGGAATCCAGTCATATAAATGGAATTTACTGTATGAATTTACTGACGCGGAATGTCACGGAATTTGTCAAAGTTTGGATGAAT